GAAGATTTAACAATTTTCGCCTAATAATGGCAAAAGAGTTTCGAGTGGCGTCATGCCAGTCAATCTCGTCCAACTAATGCCTAAATCTATGAAACACAATTTAAGATTCACGGCAGTTTTGATCTGGATGAACCTAGGCGAGGATAACGATATCTTATTTATAAGGAAGTTTGCCGTATTGGAGGTCCTAAGATTTAGAGAACTCTGATTACGTCATAGAGGTTTAAAATTGGTTATCACGTCCTTAACTCAGTGCTGATACCAAGGTTAATTAGCGGGTATCAAGTAGCGCTATTTTTGGTTATTCAAAAATATTTTGTAAATAACATCTTTAAGTAGGATAGAAGGGGTTTAACATCTCAACTTAATACTGACGGAAAAAAACCTTGCTGTGAAAAAAAATCACGTTTAAGCAAAGGTGCCAGGTTCGTAATTAAGAGATACTTCAACGTACGTGATTAGGAACTTTAAACACGAAATGGCAACATGGGAGAGGGTGACCTCGTCGTCTTTCAACAAAGAAGTGCGCTGAAAAAAAACTTCAATTAAGCCCTTAGAATGTCGCTAATCTGAGTAAATCTTCAAACTGTTGACAGCATCGACTTTAATGAATTCAGCACGCTGGATAACCGTGCATGTCACGCACGTTTTAGAATTCCATCGATCAAAATCAATTTCGATTCGAAATGTCAAAGGAACCGTTCTCATTTCTCTCTATAACTTGTCTTAGTTGCAATATCGTAGCGAGTCAAAGGTTATTTAGACATTTGTGATATAAAAGTACGACATCAAAGGTTTGATGCTGATATAACCCCTGACTTTAAACATATGTTATGCGAACTCTCGAAACAACCGTAAGTTTCCAAAGTTAAGAACAACAAATACAGATCCAGGCAGAATACAGACCCGATGTTAAGTGTAAGCGCAATTGCTTGTATGCTGCGTATTTTAATATCGTTTCCCAGCCTTTAAATTTGTTCTTAATTTTTTTCCGTCTTAAGAGCTCTTCCATTTTCTTCGACACAGCATGTTATGCATCAATTTGTGAACAACAAAGTTCATCAGTTCTAATTGTCTTGATTGTTATCTGTCTCACGCAAATAACTCTAGGCAGGAACTTGAACAGATCATAATTGCATCTTTTATCTTTCAGCATTGTCCTCTTTCATGGTCTACTACGAATTTTATCTTCCTTCCTCTTGAACTGATTTCCTTACTTTCGTTTCCAAAAACAGCACTTTGTAGAAAGAATGCCTGTTTGTAAAAATCCAATACAGATCGAAACCGAACCTTACCTTCAAAATCTTCCATCACTGAGAAGAAGATATGTACTACAAGTAGCTAACTGCCTGAGTAAATCGTTGATAAGAAGTGAGTCCAGAGGATAAAATAGAATTCAAAGATATTCTCGAGAATGCCCCTTCAGTGGTGAATTCTCGAAATAGTACGATAGATTTATGCACAACTCAAAGCTGTGTTCTGCGTTCATTTAAGCATTTTAGGCCTTGCTTAAGATGTTTTTTATGCTCTTTGAATCACACCTTCGGTTGAAATGTTGCAGATTGGGTTTGGTGTTTACTTCAAAATCACAAGAACAGTTTCGTTAAGAAAAAAAAAATTTAGAGACACGGAAACGTCAAAAACAGTTCAGCGTTACGTAAGAAAGGGAATTTAAACAAACATGAAACTTTAGAGAAGCTTAATGAGGAAAAAATATGTTAACAAAAGGAAATATGCTAAGGCTATGCGTAGTTTGTGTTTTGACAAGCGATTATCCTTCTAAACGCCGTAATTACGACTTTCTCGAAACAACAGAAAACGAACATATTACACAGACAATGGTTGAAAACAAAGTCGTTTAAGAAGGAGGTGACGAACGACCTTTTGCTTGAGATCCCTTGCGAAACACTTATCGAGTGTATTTACTGAAGTAACACTTTCATTTGCGTTGTTTCTGAGAAATCACACTTGTGCGTTCCAGTATGTCTTATGTAAATAAAGCGATGGCTTTGTCTCTTTCCCTCTACTAAATGTTAGAAAGTCGTAAGTTTTGAACTACCTGCATTTCCATGAAAGCACCCCAGGATAAGCGGTTTTAGAAACTGGCATTTACGTCTTGTCATTTCCCACGCGTGAATCTCAGCAATGAGTTTCAATTAGTTTTGATACACTACAACTATCTCACAGTGCAGCACAGAATAATGGATGGGCTCAATTGACAATGAAATTTCACCGAGGTCTAAGGTCATACTATCTGTCATTAAGCGAGGATCCCTAAAGTTACAGCACGCGATCTGGAACATTATAGGAACAATCTGATTGGCTACTAAGCCAGCCTACAGAATTACCAATAAGATAATGCCAAATGCCATAGTTACGGTTAATCCTTAATGATAGTAAACAGTGAAAAGTCTAGGGTTTGTATTCGGCAAGTCAACTAATTCTTTATCGCGAAATGGAAGGAAAATCAATTTATCAATCTACAGGGGAGCAAATCTGTTATCAGCCAAGTCTCTGTTTCCTCTGATAAAAGAAAGTAATGAAAGTGGTAAAACAGGTTGTAAACAACGTCAAACCATTTTTGGAAGAGAAGGGCATCCAATTCAGTGATGCTCGCAGCAAGAAGGCAGAAAAACAAACAAACAATAAAATGTAAGTTGAGGCTTTAAAAGCTGACCTTTTCAGAGACGCACGGCACTTTTTTGCATACCTTAGACCACTGATTAAATGAACCTTGAAAACAGAGGTAGAGAAATATTTACATTACAGAAAAAAAGACCCAAAAAAAGCCTTCGACAACAAAAGAGAAATTGGTTCCTCTCAGACTGGAGAGTGTAACGACAAACAGTTCCGAAGAAAGAAAACCCCACAAAAATAACGAGCCAAATGAAACGCCGTGTAGAATGGGTATATGTGAGTTGTGAACGGCGTGGGTATGTCATCCGAAGAACTTTGTGTTATTGCTCCAAAAGGTATTTACATGAAGTCGAAGTTATATTAGGATTCAAAGAAATCTCAATAGCGTCCTCTAAGTGAAGCGTCCAAGTGATGGTATCACTGACAGACCACAGGGCCAAGAGTTAATTGCGAGGATCGAGGAATAGTTTCACTTTTGCTCTGTTTTTTCCTAAGGTAACAAAAACTGACTGCTATCAGGACGTTTGCATACTCTTTGCACATTTGCTCCATTAAGGCTGCGTGACGAATGAGGAAACACGCATATGATGTAGAACACCACAAAAATGTAATTATTAGCTGGCTGTACTTTAATGTCCTATCTTGGTTGGAGCCTTATTGTGTAACTGACGCAACAAAGTAAAAAAAGGCAATTGAAGACACATCCGGTACAGAAACAGAATCCTTTTTCTCCCGCAGGAGAGCTGAGAGACGTGATGAATTCGTATAGATGATTTTACACCGTCACGTAAACAAGTTCTAGCCTAATTGCTATTCCGACATTTCAGTGGTGTCGTTCACCACTTAAAATAAAATTAATGATGCAGAAACAGAATTAAATCAAATAACTACACGTCTCGGTATAACCAAAAGAAATCAATTAAGTGTAAAAATAGAAACTTAATGGCCTTTTGCATTTTTCTTGTTTTTCCACCCACGTGGACTGTCACCGCATTTTAGTAGTCGTTTTTTTGATCAGCGAGGCTGCCATACATCTTCCTTGGTGGAACTCAAGCATACGAATTTAAGATGTAAAGCCGGCGGAATGAAATACCAATCACTTGAACGCTACTGTAGCGTCTAAAGTATTTAAACAATGCTTGAAACTCTCATGACTTCTTGAAGCACACAGATCAACGAGCAGTTATCACCGCTTTATCTGGCAGTCATAACTCCTTCGTCTCCTCACAAGTTTGTTTAATCATGTATTAACCTAAGGCGGGCAGGTTTTTTTTGGATTGACGTGTTGATTTCAACGGGGTAATTAATCTCATGGCAGATTTGTACAGTCAGAAACAAAATCAGAGAAAAGTCCGATGTTAATTTGGAAGTCAGTTTAATAGTATAGAAATGTGAATACTGCGAGGCTCGATGCACTTTTAACCGAGTGATAACCAGTCTGTTCAATCGATGATAATATAGGCACCTTCCCAATAAACGTCTAGCTAATACTGATCATGAAATATTGGATAACATAGAATTATCAGGACTGGAATGGCATAATTTCTGGCAAGCATCAAAACATCTAAGGACACTGTAATCATGCAGTATGTCGTGGTTGATGGACGAGATAACTTTAAGAATTCAGTGAGCCCAACATTTGTTACCATTTAAGGACACTGCTGTATTACTGTATGATACATTATTTGGATTTGAACTTTCTACGGTACACAAAACAACCTCAAATCCTTTGATTTAGAGTTTATAATTTGTCACTCCCACTCCTTCCTAAAAATGCTTAGACTTGCCCAGATAAGCATATAGAAACCAAATTTCGTGGGAGACAGAAAAATGTCGGGAATTCATTCAAAAACATCAAGTTCGGTCCGCCTTATAAATAACTTCCATACACGATACACGCAAGTTGAAAATAACACAATCCGTCATAAGTAATTGGAGTAGTTTAACTTATAAATTAAAGGTCTTGGATGAGATGTTAAAGGTAAGAACGTTGTCCACCAATTTAGGGTTATTCGATGTCGTACATGTTATTAAATTCATTTTGGTTACATCAGAAAGTTATACTTCAAGTCCATGGCTTCCGCAAATGGATCCATCAACAGTTTTCTAGGCTGCTCTCCAAGAGGGGAGAATATAATGGTTCCCTGAGGTATGGGATCGTAACTCGCCGAGGCACAGTCATGAATTTTGTGCCAAGATGCGGACAAGGTTAAACGTGCAATTTGTGAGAACAAACAGTGATGATTAATCGATTTGATACGAAGCTAAGAGAAATAAAGCTACAAAAAAAATTTGATGATTCTGAAATGCTAACTATGTTATCAGTCGAGTAGCAATACGATAAAGAAAACAGTTAGGCTTACCTGCGCGACGTGAAGATTCGTCTTCTGTTTCGCTTGCTTGCTTCTGAATGGCCTGGAAAGAAAACATTCGGTGTTGAGCAGAGAATGTCGGTCACATCCACAAGCCGGCATCTCGTACGCATGAGTAGGTAAATGGAATTCTTGTCTACTTGAACTGGGTACGATTGTGATCAAAATTGGCGCCATATTTCTAATGCGTTCAAAGATCGGCACTCAAGGTTTGATTTAGTTTTTTGCGAACTGAAAGTACTCTACCATCCTAGAGGCTATCCCTTGGAATTTGAATTAATACCAGAAATTAATAACCCATATTTTCAGTAAGTATTTCCTTAAAAAGCTGCTTAACACGAGGAGTCATTCATATCGCGCTCAAGCTCTGCTTATCATCAGGCATTTGCTCTGCTTTCCTTTTGAGAAGAACCATGTCAGTGAGTTTCCACGCCAAATTTTTTATCAAAAATCTAGCTGAAGAGAAGGATCGAAAAAAAACTCGTACAAAACCAAGAATCGTTTTTCTTTTATCAGATGGTGTCTTTCGAGTATTGCTTATTTCGTAGAGAAACAATTCAAAATTGTTTTGATAAGAAAAAGTAAAGAGTAACTCGCTGAACTTATCAGTTTAATTCTCTTTATCTTTATCTGTCCAAACCTGTCGGAAATGGAACCTCTACCCGCCCGGTTCTCGTTATCAGCCTTCTATCGATGTCAGACGGGTTGAAAACAAGCAAAAAATACTGTCTGTTTGCAATTTTTTTAAGCCACTTGAAGAAACGTCAGAAACATCACCCGCTGAAAGCGAGTTTGAGTAATGGTCGTGGGTCGTGGGTGCCGGTGTGGGACAAGTCGTGTCGGTAATAGTTAACACTGAATTAAAAGTTAATAGTTCATATCTAATAATAATAATAATATTAATGGTACTTCTACTAATAGTTATTGTTATTATTGTAGAGGGGAACGGTTTTTTTTTGGTGAAACGTGATTTGGTTACATAGCCGTGAACGGTGAATCGCCTTTTTATGGAAATTGCGAGACGACTGGGTTTTTTTTTCGCGAAACGTGACTTGAACCGTTATTGTTTCTCTTCCTTTAAAAAAAAAATCCAGTACGCGTCTCAAAACAAGACTACGTGTAGAAATATGACTGTGATTAGCTAATTATCATTCCAACAGGTAATTGAACACCTTTTATCTTCGTTTCGTGAAATGGCTATTTTCGTAAAACGTGAATGGCCATTTTATTTTTCGTGAAAAGTGATCTAGGAGCCCCCTTTACCTCCCTCAATTATGGTGTAATTTGACATAATTGACATGAACAAACCTTTCTCCAACCCTTCTCCAACTGTCAGGAGCCAGTAATGGGCTCCTGCCAACTGTAAATATTATTGTTTATTCCAATATCATCGCATCAGCTCGGTGAGACTACCATTTCATGGATTCACTTAGATATAAGTAATACGTAATTCATTCAGCTAATTTATACCAAAAAATCTGTACTTAACGATAATTGATTATTGGTAGTAGTACTATTAATATTATTATTATTAACAATTAATTATTAACTATTACCGACACGACTTCTACCCACACCCACACCTACGCCTACGACCCACGACCCACGACCATTGGTCAAACTCGCTGAAAGCCACTAATAACATCTAATAAATGCCCAAACATGACTACCTATGGAACAGTTACCAATAATCAGCTGTAATGATAAAAGTTTTCAAAAGTTTTTTGCTACGGCCACGAGATATAGACATTTGGATCCGAAAGGTGTAACATTTTCAGGTGAAATTTGTCCATAGGTGAAGCATAATTCATAAATGAAGGAAATTGCTGCAGTGTGATGATTGCTTTGCATTGTGACAACACTGTGAGACATGTGCAACTCATGTGAACATATTATAATCACTCTCGACGTTACAAGTTTACTTGATAGCCGCCAGGAAAATTTTGGAGCCCTGATATTCCTTACAAAGTTAAAGATACTTTTCCAATCTATTTGTTTACTTTTGCAGAAAACAAATTGATGAGATGTTCCATTTCTCTCTCTCGAATGATCTGTGTGTGTGTGATTTTTTTTCCTAAGCCTATTTGAGAAATGGCGTAAAGTGTTTTTTTCTCACTAAGGCTATCAGAGAAATGGTGTGTATTGGATTATGTCTTGACAACGAACCACAAAGAAAAATTCTCGGTAAAGATACGACAATGAATACACACAGCAAGGATGATTGAGTAAAATTTTCTTAAGTTGTGGGATTGATGCATATCTTTTCTACTGCACCTCATTGTCGTTTTCGTCCGCACTTCCCGGGAACGTGAAAGCGCCTTGTGACGAAGAACTAGTCCCCTCCTTGTCATCCTCGGCAGGAGAGTTCGTCTCGGGGCTTGGGGTTGAAAGAATGTCCTCGAGAGATGAGGCCTCCATACGCTAAACAAGGAAAGTTCAAGATTTAGTTGAAAGCGATGGATAAAGGCTTGGAGCAGTAGCACGACAGCGCTGATTTCAGAGATACACACTATGATGTCGTCAACGCAGAGGTAGCACTACACATATTCAGACAAAGATCATTGAGAGTCAACAAAGGCAGAAAAAGCATTCGGCCATTGGTAGTGTGATTTTGGCGTCAGTTATACTGCTGTGCTACAAAAAGAACTTTCCATTTATTCGAAGGATGTCGTAAGTCCTTGATTTCCCCATGTAGAAATGCTGCACAGATGAAGCTCTAAAATGTTCCTGAAGTGCAATATGGAACTCATTTATAACCTCTTTCGAGCGTTCGCGGTAGTCCCTTAAGACTAAGACTTGAACCTTTTGAAATAAGCTCAAACCTTTTCAAACCCCGTTTAGTATGATTATGGTTGTGTTTACCACTCGAAGGGTACTCAGTGAAATTTTAGGATAAGATATGTGTTACATCTCATGTTCTAAACAATAGACAGAGGTACAGGTGCGAGTCGGACTAATTTGTGTTGTAAGTCAGACAGATTAGTGTCTCTTTTTGTAAATCGCAGCCCTTATCGCTCTTCGCGACCAGAGCAAAAATCGTAGAAGTCTAAGGTCTGCAAACAGTCTGTCAGGCAGATTAAGCGTAATGCCATGAATCCAGGAAGTATCATTGCGTCTAAATTTACACTAAATTTAACAGAAAAATGAAGGCCTTTTTGTAACTGTTAGATTTTCAGTGTCACGTACTTTTGAATTCCTTAAGAACTATATAGTCAAACTTTTTGAAATTGAATAAGTAAAGGCGAAAGAGGAGGCGAATAAAAACGTTTATATTGTACTAGCATGCCAAATTGATAGCAGTATTGCATGTCAATGGTGTTTTCAAGTTTACACGAAAAGAAGCCTCAGAATGGAACACTTAGAAAATGTGGTCGGCGACAAAATGGTGCCCGAGCAAATTTTGTTGTAAAACTATTCAGCCACAAACATTATCTGTCTCACTGCCCTAGGAAATACCGCCAAAGGTAATATAAACACCATAAAGTATATGGCTATTGTCGCTTTTGCCGACAGTTCCTTAGTCTGTAAACTTATCGAGGTTATGGATTGTTGAAAGTTCCCTTTCGCGATAAAAATTACAACTATCTTCTTCTGTATTTCATTAGTAGAAGTATATATTTTTTTTGCCATTGAATTAACCTAGTCTGTTTTTAAGTGAATATTAGTTTTTCCGCTTGACAGACCTAACCATGATCCGATACAGTTGTACACGTCTGTTCAAAGTTCCAAAGCGTTCTGAACTTAACTTATGGTCACCTTTTCACGGGTAAATTGATGGGGATAGTGCAGTTTGTAGACAGCTTAACTTCCCTGATATTTATAATACTCGGAATCTAAAATTTTGTTTTGTTTTGCAGAAGAGCGAACAATAAAAGAATCTCACAGCGTAAATGAACTTCGAAATTTCTTATTGGTAATAATTGATGTCAAATTTGGTCGATTTGCTTCTCAAATCCAGACGTTTCATATCGATATTTTCAGCAGTTCAAATCTGGCTTCATCGTAACGTCATCGAAGATGGATAACTTCCATTACTTTGACTGTTTTAACAAAGTTATTTGGTTCTTACCTCAACTAGCGCCTGTATAACAGTCATAATCACCCGTCGCTTTTAAACAAAAGACCTCAAAAGCTACACCACCGGGATCAATTAGTCAAATAATCTATGAGTCTTTTTCTCACAGAATGGTATCAGTTCGGATAAACGTTGAAAGCATTTCTTTAACAGCGTGTGACCATAATCATTTATAGCACATTTCGCAATTTTTCTAGCTTTTTCGTCGACTTCGTCCTACGTGAGTGTAATCCTCTAAGCCTCCTACATGTGGACTCGAGTTGCGGTAACGGATACATTTGCTTAGCGTAGTAACGCTTCAGGCTACGGCTTCAAACACTGTTACTTACGTTTAAATCAAGTAACCACATTCCGCCCATGCGGCGTCTTCGTTTGAGACCCGGTTCTTCCATTTTTCTTCGCGCAGTTTGGAAGTATTTCCTCACTAGATACTGCTCTCTTTCCATCACAGCCCCAAACTAACTTTAGACTTTGGAAAACTATGTTTAGAGCTTCAATCATGGGTCACGCGCGTGATATTCGACCTTTCCCACCCAACCCGGCGTTTGGCATATTAAAACCCGCTTGGTCACGAACACTAATGTAAAATAGGCCAACATATCATATTCAATCTGGGTTTTCGTGATAATAGAATAATTGGTTTATTTTAGACCACGTATCGTGCTTGAGATTCTCAATGTTTTGATGACGATGAAGTTTGGTAATTAAAACACGCACTAAAGAGTTAACAGCGTCAAGCTTGGCTTGCAATATTCGAGTCCTAATTGAGATGAATTAGAGACGAAAACGCCCAAGCCACAATAATAGAGATCGTTGTTACGCTAAACTGTGGCTTTTCTTTTCAGGCTGAGCACTTTCCTTTGATATACGAAATATCTGAATAATTACATATTTCAGTGCCTTCAGCGGAGACGACCGTCGGCCATCAGCTCTTTTGAACAGTTCCGACTCAAAAAGTTGACAATCAGTTTCACGCTGGTGAAACATCGAGAGATATTCATGTTGCCTTGTAAAAGCAGTTAGAGATAACAACTTTAATAGCGTCAAACCACAAGTTCGTTGGCATTCCTATTTAGAAATCCAATCGATGTGAACTATCACGAAACCCATGTAATCCACCTTCAAAGTGGTCCAATATTTAGTCGGAAGTCACGTGAGGATTGTTGGCGGGTGTAGGTTTTGATAGCTATATCTTCTTAATTTTTTTCAGTGGTTTTCCATAGTCTGCTTAAATTTTTAAAGTATTGTGTGGGAATGTGAATGGTGTTGTATGGCTTTCTGCCGATCACTCTAACGTAAGGCACGGTCAATCTCGATGGTGGTTATAGAGAGGGACTAGAACGAAAATTCAATACTTTCTTGTTAACTAACGGTTTTTTTATAATGCTAATTTTGCGTTAATTTGTCACACGGGTTAATCTTCTCTAGACTTAACCTTTGTTCTTCTCCGTTTTTTTTTCTTTCGTGCACCAAAAGTTTTTGATGCTTGCTTGGCCTGAAAAGCTTTTATTTATAGATTTCTTAATTGACGCGTCAATTGTTTGTGACACATTCAAATAGGCAACTTAAATATCGTCATATGCAAAGTAAGACCCATCACCAGAGTCTCTATGGCTCAGTGGTAGAGCATCTGAGCGCGGTATCCGAAGGTCTGAGGTTCGATTCCTCATGGGGAATCAGGGAAGTTTTTCTTTGTCTCACGCTCGTGACAAGACGGAAAAACGTCTTTTTCTATTACTTTACCGCGCTCAAAACTTGCCGTCTTTCTAAAGATGACTGTTGTTATAGATAGCAATGGAAAACCGCGTTTTAACGGTTGATATGTCTGCTTGCGTATCTCAGTGGAATTTAAAGGGATGTTTCCGCAAACGGTTTCGTATAGAATCGTTTTTATACGTGAGTCTTGAAAAAATGTTCGGCTGACGTTGATCAAAATTTAAGGTACATACTTGCAAAATTACTCAAATTTAGACGTTTTCATTTTGCTAATTTTGTTTTGTTTTGTTTTGTTTTACTTTTGTTTTGTTTTTGTTTCGTTGTTATGTTTGTTTTAATGAAAGCTACCATTCGTTGAGCAGTACTTATGTAAGACATTGCAAATCGCTTCCACTTAAGGATCATTTTTGGAGAAAGAGAGGAACGTTCACTTTGAGCGCAAAAATAACAGGTGCATGTTTGTATACTAGAAGAAGTATAACCAAAAGCTTTTCTTGATCGTATAAAGTTAAAGCTACGTAATACAGGCTCCGTGCAGATTTGACAATCATTGAAATGACATTTCTATTTTCATCATGCCAAAAAAAAAAAAAAAAAACCGGACAGACAGTTTTCGACCTTTTACGATGCATTATGGTGAAAACTTGCCTACATATTCTTCAGAAATGAATACACAGCTTGATCCTGTTCCCCTTCAGTTTTGCTTTGTTTTGTTTTTTTTTATGAAGAGGAACTGATGAGGACGTTGTGAATTGTCGCAGAGGTCGCCCCACCAGTCTCTTTCCGTCTTGCCTTGTCCGTTTTGAACAATTGCCTAAGTATCTACGCTGCAGCAGCAAATTCGAAATCATGAAGCGTGATTGGTCCTTGCAATATTATTTCGTGACCTAGAAGCGCCACAGCTTACAATATCAGTCGTTTATGTGTGCTGACCGTAAATGGAAAAAAAGTTACGAAATCGAACGAAACTGAAATTATACTTACAGACAGAATTTCTACGTAACTCATCGGCTGTGTGATAAAAGGCGTTCCTCCGAACGAACTGGCTGCAAAGATAAAGAAAAAAATCTTTAAGTTATGACATAAGTGTCACCAATGGTCTGGCAAATGATCTTTAGATGGACGTAAAAAGGTTGACAGTGTCTGGTTTGTCGCTTGATGAAAAAGTACCAGTGTTCGTTCTTGTATCTTGTCATACGACTTGTTATTGCTCTTACCAAAAAAAAATTAGGCTTGTTTTGTAGTCGCTGATGTAAGTTTTTTGTTAGTTATACCGTGTTTAAAACTTAATCTTGATGAACACAAGTCTAAAAAGTTTTTAGTTTATGACGCCATGTCAAGTGGATCAAGACATTCCATGGCTCAGGAAAAATTGGTTGAACAAACTCAAATGTGGCAAGCACCCGGTTTCTTTAATCCTAGCTTCAAAATTAGGGGCAATTTGAAAAAAGCAAGAAAAGATTTGTATGTAAGGCTATGGTCACAACAGATCCGCTTTATCCAATGAATTTCATTGAGATTTATCCTCCGTGCTCTAAAAACAATGTGCTGTAGCTATATACAGACCTGTACAATGTACTATAGCTTCATATTGAAATTAAAGCTCAAATGTTATTTACAGTAATCATTCCGATCCCAAACTGCTGGGTAACGCGAAAACAAAGAGAAATAAAAAATGAAGCAAATTAACAACTATTATCCATCCTTCGGTATAACGAACATTTTGTTTGTTTTTTTCCGCAAATTCGCTAGATCAAGGTTTTCTACAAGTCGTAATCACTGATCTGAGGGTTAATGTCTGGGTGAGAAAAAGGTTAAATTTCGTTTAAAATGGTAATCAAGGTTGCTCAGTTGGAAATCGTTTCCGGTATTCTGCTGCTGTTTTTAAAGGGGTTTCTAATTTTCCACAATCGTTCAATGACTTCTCCCGTCTTCCTTTCCCATTAATGGAGAGAAATGCTTTCCCCCGGTCGGTAATGCTTGAAAAATTATCCACATTATTCATGTTAACCGCCCAGAACTGTGATATTTGTTGTTTAAATTATGCGACAGTAACAAGAACAGTCCTCACTGCCATAATCCTTGGATTCACTGGAACTCAACAGGGCACGGGAAGGTATCTTTGTTGCAAAGTAACTAGTCAAGTGTGATCAATTTATCTTCGCGTGCTCAGTTGGAATAACGGGGCTGAACAATATTGACGGACTGAGATGACGTCAATGCCAACAGATATTGGAATCATATATAACCGAACTTCCGTTGATGCAACTAATCTTTACTAGGTGCATGACTGATTTGGGTATCGAGTACTGTTCGGAATTCCGATGCAAAGGTTGTTTTTAAAGTCAATGATGTTCCATTAGGAGCATCTATGTAAACATGATGCTGAAAGATTACACTAGGCTTAAAAGTCGTCCGTCAACACCTTTGATCGTGTTCCTGTCGATGCTCATACGACCTGAGTTTACAGCCTCGGGCAGAAGGGTCCTACTAGATCGATAAGAGACATGATTCACTCCACAGAGACTAAGTTGTCAATTTACGAGAAATCTTTGCTCGCGAGGCTGCTGGGACGTAAATTATGCAACCGACCTCTTATTTAAACAATGTCTTTTCATTTTGAGTTTGAACTGACCATGCAAAGATCGGAGTTCTGTTCTGTTATACAAGTAATCCTCTTATTAGTAGCCAGCTAGTGGCAAAATAACATGTAAGATTCGCACAGTTACGATCCTTTGACTGTTAAATTAAAAGCATCAATCTAGCCGAAATAATTACCATTAGTGCATAATGCAGAACGAGTGTTATAGACGCAATGTTTACATCAACCCTCAGGGATTCGAACACAACTGAATATACTTCCAAGCCATGTATGCTCTCTGCTTCTCCCTCTCAACTTTCGGTTGTTCACAACACCTCTTACCTTGAAAGGCCACCACGCCAGTGCCTGCTTCTCAAAGAGTGGGAAACACAGGAGAATGTAATTTACACATGCACTCGGCCGATTGTGATAGCGAGATCATGGCTGTCAGTTCAGTGGTAAGTGAAATTCCATCATAAATTTCCCTTTGTTTGCATGATTTTGAGATTGCGCGCAAACAGGTCATGAAAGATTCAAGAACGACTCCACAGGAGCCTTTAAATCCCGGATACAATTAAATAGTACCTGGCATCTTTGGCGTGCCCTCTCGATTGCTGGAGGAGTAATGATGAATAAGATCTGTAAAATATTTGTCTATTCCAGGGCTGAACGAGTCATCAGCTCCGTGATTGGTCACTGCTATTGTTTGAGGCATTTAAAGTGCGTCTTTTAACAGACACAAAACATTAACACTTCTTGACATACTTCTATCAATCAGATGGCGTTATTTTTGTTCAGAATGAACCAAGGAATGCTGTTTGATACGCTGAACAATTGAAAAAGTTATTTTCGATCTTAGGCGAAGTCGTTCAACAATAGACAAGAAATTATTTGCGGCTTTTGATCGTTTTGTTCTATTGTTTTGCATGAATTAATCCGTGTAACCATTTACAGCTTGTATTTATACGGCGAATTATCCTGCTTAAACCAATTTGCCAAAAGACTGCCTCACGTTATTTCTTTGGCGATCACACGAGCCCATTACTTTCCTGCGGTGGACGCTTCTTTTAAACTCGTTCTGTACGATACTAATTTTTGTTAATTCATTTATCACTTGAAGATGACTATCTACTGTTAACAATAATCTTTCATAAAATTTAAGACTTACAGGAGGAGTCAAGAAAAAAGGTGAAAAATAATCGCTTAATTGAGAAGACTACTCTGTAAGTTTTTATGTACTTTGTAATTTTTATGTGAGTATATATAAATATGTGTAGCGCAAGACCTGAAATTATGGAAGAAAAGAGGTTTTTCAACTATCTATGGCATTTAAATTAAGCACTCGTTAACCAGTCGAGACAAGGGAGTTTGCTTACGGTGGTTTAATCCCTAATTTCATTCAGTCTGGAAAAATGGGTTAGGAGCGGAGGGTATCGAGCTTGGTTCATGTGTTATGTGTATGTTCCTGGTGGGTGGTGTTTCGGTTAATAATCAGGAGTCGTGTCTTTTTTCCTTTTTCACACTTTCCCTTGTATGTCGTTGGTAAGTCTCAGTAAGTCAGTAGCAATGGAAAGGCATCTTATCATGCGTCTATTTCAGAGAGATCAAAGATCTGATAAAGTTCAAAGGTGTCTGTAGAAAATTTGAAATAGCGTTCTTAAAAAAGGTACTCGAACTGAGATATCACTCGAGTGTGAACAGCCATTTCACAGCTTCTTTTCAAATGCGCATGTGCTCTTAATATACGGTTAAAATGCGTGCCTTATTCCACGCTTCGCAAGTGCCCTGTCATTGAGTGACCTCTGCACTCGCGAAGAGAAGAAGAGGGGCAGTACCACAATATAAGTAAAATGATTTCTTTCCTTTTTCCTTCTTTTTTGTCCCATTCCCCGGTGTTATAAGAGGGGAAACTGAAGTAATACTTTGAAATCATACCGTAGCAAGGCTGGTAAAGTCATTGCGATTTTCTTTTTATCCCTGCAGGGGGGCTCTTCATTCCAAGCCCACACATAATGAAGACACGTCCTCAAATGGGACACTGAATCGTAACCTCCATTACGTTTTCGTTTCTGACGCACTGCATAGCATGATGATCCGTACTTATCATAGATCAGTTAGAAGTGAAAACTACTTTCGGTTGCAGAACCATCCGCGGGCAATCTTAGATATCTGCTGAGTTGCAAATCTTTCTTTTCTTTTCCCCTCAGTTTGCACCGGGAGGGAGTTAGAGCTTTCTAATGATCTCGAAAACTTAGCCTCAAAACAAGCGTTTCCTGATTTTATGATGCTATGGATGCACGAGATTAGCTGTTCGTCCTGTCGTACGAATAAAACCCTCAACTGACATTTGCAGCGAACGAAAACTTTCATCTGAGATGACATTTTCGTGGATCAGTTGTGACCTTAGGACGTTCCGCAAGGTTTAATCGTTCTCCCCTTAAACATCGTGCTCACTTGTTCCATAATGACTGACCTCTCATCCATAAGACACCTGAAAACTGTAATATCACGTTATTTCATGATAGGTTCCTATTCTTGGCCCATTCCAAATTCTTGGACGAAACATCTTTAATATTGTTTCCGGTTGAGCGGTTGCCGCATTATCATTGTAAACAACCGCGCCAATCGTAAATGTTGTTACTACGTGAAAATTATACTGTGAGCTTTCGATAGAAAACTTAATCACTGATTAATGATGGAACTAATGCAGTTTTCTTTCGATACGCGTCCGATTTAAGAGTGCATTCTGTTGATGTACCCCTGGGACAAAAATCTGATCCTGCCCAATAACTAGATCGTATCTTTTCCAAACTCCTGGTTAAATATCTGCAAAAATAGCTTACGAAATCTTCTTATTTCGACCAAGAGCATTATAATTTTTTTTTGTTTATGAAATCCTTTCAGCATTGGGACCTAAGAGTTCCGCTAGCTTGAAACTCTATGAGATCAGAAAGAAACACTGAATACTAAAACAGTCGGTTTTTGTCAAAGATTCATAAGAAACCGGCAGCTTGCAGTAAACAGTAACAAAGAAATATCAACTGATCATGCTGATAAAATATTGTTACTATTTTTCACCAATTTGGACAAAAATAAACTACTTGATTCAAATACCTCGCTTTTGGTTCTCATCAAAGTGAATCGGAAATGATTGGTACGACGACCTATTTGCTTAAGTTTCCTGTCGGTAGGGTGTCCACGGTAAAACCTTAGTCTTTTGAGGAAGTACCAAGAGTGTTAAATCACCGCAAACGAGCATAGAGTAGAGAGGAGTAAACTTGCAGGATACACTCTGTGTTTGTTAATCCTTGAGGTATTTGTGAAGAAAAAACACCGCATACCGATGCAAAAATAGTTTTGAACGACGTCAAATCCGTGGTGTCGCTCTTGCCGAACCATTTAACTCAATCTAAACTGACAATAATCCATCTGTACAAACAGTTTGTCACGAACAGAATCGAGGTGAATGTCAATTAGTGAACCAAAAGAGTTAAGACGTGAAAGTTCGAATTAAACCTGTGGTGCTTGAATACAAATTTAATCTATCAAATGGTAAACTTTACAGTATAAAGACTGTAGATGGAATTGTCACTTTGCTAAAATTAAAATTGATCACACTCTCGTAAATATTTGATCAAAAGATCTTTTAGTGAAAAACGTTTGAGATACGTGAATCCTTAGTATTGCAGCTTCAGTGAATTGACGAAAACAACAGTCCCGTGTCACGTTTTTAAATCAACAGGCTGTCTTTCAAAGTGAAATGGAAACTCGTAAGTTTGCCCAAGAAATAACGAAAAAAGAAGATCATATAACAAAAATTGGCATCAAGTTAGATATTTAACTACAAAACGCGCAGGTTTACATTATCCCTTTCGATATTATTCCATAAGGTTTCAATTTATTTTGATATGATATTGTTAAAGCTGGAGCACATCATTATTTACCATGAACAAAATAATCAAACGCCCCCCGAAGTAAAATGAATTATTGGAAGTACTGTGACAAGAAACATTACATGCAATAATTTTTTTTGGAGTTTACAGGCCCTTTTTTGTCGGCGGCACATTTGTGTTCACGAAAGGAGCTTACGAGGAAGAATCTCGTTTTTCTTAAAAGATTTAGGCTTATATTGGTATGGAACTTTGAACCAAAAGAATTTAAATTAAGATTGAATACCTCCCATTGAATAAAATCGTTTACGAAGAGTTTTAATACTAACCAGGAAATAGAAAACGATCTCAGTCATTCAGGGTCAATGATTTAAACCGTTCGGTACAAAAAAAGAACAACAATTTGTAACTTCAAAAGAAAGCTTAGATTGGAAACAATATTGCATCCTTCATCACCGTGACAATTTGAAAGACAAAACAAAGTGAGAAGTCCGTTTAGATATCTGGACGCGCATTTTTAATGCTACCCTACTAAATTTTCTCGGGCTAAACAGAAAGAACTTCGTGCAAAGGGAGTTACAAGTGATACTCACGTGGAAGCTTTTTCCATCACATGTGCTTCTAATTTTGAATAGGATTAGACTTAGTTTTGCGCGTGTGCAAATCTTTGGCAATGATAATTTTGAATGCAAACCACTTAGATTTGTTTCTATTTTTGTAACTATTTTTTTCCCAAAAAAAAAAAAGTAGAAGGGTAGCCAAGAGAAAGATATGATCGTAAAACTACGCGAATAGTAGCGCTGAATAAAGTACACATTCGTTATCTCGTGTAAAGGTAATTAAGGGCGATCTATAATCGCACTCAGGTGAAGGAGGCAGTTAATTTCCGAAGAACTACCAGGAGGATGATTTTTCCTAAAAGCTCGTGATCATCACAATAAGTTAGCGCTATTAACTTTCTGAGATACGTGTATCTCATTTGATTGAATTATCAGCCTCAAATGTTCCTTCATTGGTCTAATCTTTCTGTTGGTGATTATAGGGTAAACGGACTTACAGTTCTTTTGCGGAGACACTGGATCACAACGAAATCTCGAAAAAGGCTTTGATTTGGACAATGGAGACCTCAAATGCCATAGAGGGGGAACAAGTCTGGCTACGGTAGTCATTTTAGGAAATACTCTCCGCCTTAAATGATACCAGCGTTCGTGTTGACATGATATTTAGGCTTACCTTTCTTTGACTTCCAGAAGCTAAATCTTCTTTTCTTAGGCTTTGTCTCAAAGTTGTAAGATCTTCTTGAACTAAATCGGTGGACTTTGTGCGTGAAAAACAAGCACCAAATTGAACTCATGTTTTCGTTTTTCAACGAACCTTGTAATTATCTGTGACTGTCTGTTTCATCCAATTGAAGGTCTGTGTACGTGATGGCGAGGCAACCGACTGACACAAGTGTCCCTTGGCTCTATTTAGTTAGTGAGGCAGATATAGCCAGACGTGGTATTAGCCATCACGGGGAAAATTCTCGACATTCTAGGAAGTGATACTTTGTTTAGACTTGTAAAGCGTGATCCTAATAACGTATATGAACTATGTTTAGCCTTTAATCGCATTAGCACTTTAATACAGTTGCGATCAGGTCCAATGACGTACTCTCCCCGAAATAAGACTGATAATGTTCTCTCGATACCAGTTTGCAATTTTGATACTTAATGAAGAAATGTCCTTCAGCCGGAACAGTATTTATTTATAATCAAATGCATAGTTGACTATCTGTTTGATAGTGTATTGTAAGAAAAAAATTAAAAAGTTGAAGCGTGATTTGTAGGATCAGAGTTGTCGTATTCGACTGCTAAATTTTTTCACATTTTCTATAAATATTCACGCATACAAAAGGAGCCTTTGATCAGTGTTCTACATTACTTTAAGTGGTGTTTGAAGAGAAGGTCAGAAATGAATAGGAACTATTTCAAAAATTATCATTTAAAAATTATTCAAATGTTTTCATAACAGGGAGCGATTTATCGATATGACTAACGTGGAAATTGCGCAAAGAATTTTCTTTACGTTTTGAAATCGGAAGGACTTTAGACGTTCTTGTAGTGGTGCAAACAGAGAAATCGATATAACTAAACAAGAAACTGTGCGCGAAATAAAGAACAGTCAATGGAATTCATAATGCAAACTAACCTAATTTACTGTTTATTTTTATATTAGAATAAATAAGTGGTCAAATCGCTACCGGGAAGTTTCACAAAGGATTCTCTGCCAGTTGGAGTGATGAGGAGTTGTCTTTAGCTGGGAAAATAATTTTATCATTGACGTGCATGTTACGAGAAAATTTTGAGCATTTATGAGCGCACGTCAGAGAGAGGAGAACAGGAAAAAAAAAAACATCACAATTTACCGTTTGATCTGCGCCGAATTTAGCTGGACTTTCCTGATGAACAGATTTGAGGTTATGCTTGATAGACTTCTAATTGTAAATTACATGATGAAGGCCTGGCTTATGATCAAGGAGCGATTCCCGGTGAGACAAGGTGTGCTGTATCCATCGGATTGAAACTGTTATCCAATGAGGAAAACCCTTTAATATGTCTTATTTCTGAGCTTTCGTCCAACCCATGAGATTAGCACCGTGAGAATATGAATCCTTGACGGAGCGTAAAAATCGCCTTTATTTCCAAAGGTCCAAGTCTGTGAATGCGGATGAAGATATCATTCAGTTTCACGCTACGGTTTCAATGTCTTGAACATGATTTAATAAAAATTCAAATTACTAGTAAAATCTTTGCAAAAGTCTCAATCATCTTCGAAAGTATGGAAGAACGCTCGTGCTATTTCATACTGAAAAAACGTTTGCTTCGCATTGAACTTCAGACGTGAGTCAAAACTTTTACAAACATCATAACTACAAGGAAATGTCCGTCTGTGACCTGTGTACGTCTGCGGGAGGGTATTTGTCAATATCTACCCTGTTGCAATGCTCCTTTTGCAAGAGGTCATCGGTATTGTTTATACGTGGCTGCTTAATAGGCCAGAGAGTCTGTGTAAAAAACCGCTACTTTTACGATGCACATCACCATTTTTACCTTGTTAGCGTCATGGCATGCACACCTCTGAGCTGTAAGGTCACAATCTTTGTAAGAAAAGCGTGTAAAACATTCAAACAAGAAAAGTACTTTGAACTATTTCCCCTCTTTATTTTATCCCTAGAATTTTATGGATTAATCTTTTTCTGTTTTTGTCTGACTAAGGCCACATTCAATTAACTTTCCCGGTTGGTTTTGTTATTTCTGGTGAGAAAATTGATTTGGTTTGTTTGTTTTGTCTGAAACTCGCTAATTCTTATAAAGGCGTTGTGCGGCGGCAAGTGATCCTTATGATCTCTTGGCTGCGGTTATTAATAAAAGCAACTTTAAGCTTGTCTAGCAACCACTTTGGCTACGTGCCTTGGATTGCCCTTCCCGAAAACAATTCTCAGATTGTTCCGTCCGGCGTATCATGTACAGGGCATAAGGCTGAGAAATTGTTCCTCTAACATAAGCTTGTTATTAGTTTAGCAAAATTAGACGAAATAAAGTGATACATTAAAATAATCAGTCGTATGACAAACAACATTTGTAGGTTTGCAAAACATGTTTCCAAATCATTCATGTCATCTCCAGTTGGAAATGCTCGTTTTACAATTTGAATTTAACTGCACAAATACTTGAAATATCATTGAGCTACCATGAATGTACCAAGATAATTTTTTTGGCATCGCGCAGCTGTGAATTAGATTTCTGGTTGCCGATGTTTGAATGCTTTGTTTACTTCGTGCTTGTAGTTTTCCATCGTATAGTTCAGTGAGGAAATTCAGTAAGTAAAGTATCAAATTAATGAACTCGAGGGTGGTACGAAATAGTATTAAAATATTATAAAACTAATGGCCCTCTTACAAATTAATGAAGATACTTAAATTAAAACATACATTACTAAATAATAAGAATCTCCTACAAACTATGACATCATTGATATGAGTTTGACTGACATAGTCAAGAGAGGTTAAATTTGACCAAAATTCTCGACCTCTTTATTAAACTAGCTCTATAAGAAGTGATTTTCCAATAACTACGTCTTCTTACAAGCAATAGACTATCCCGACAACACCAGAAAAATTAAGCAACTTATCAACTTCACGTAACTGCACAAACCAGTACAAGAAAAAGTATTTCGGCTATAGGGGAAAATCCCTGAGTAATACGGGGTTAAATTTCAGAGCTTTGGGGGAAAATTACTCAGTGATAGGGTTACCATTAATGACTATAAGATTCACGCGGCCCACTTCAGTATGAGAACAAAAAAAAAAAGAACAGTTATCGAGTTTTTGAAATTATATCACATAATATAAGTCACCGCAACTTGCATCTCACAAGCCCGTGAACTGATACAACCCGATTTGAGTGGTAGGATATCAGCCGGTTGATCACCAAAACAATTTTCCTACTTTAAATTATTAAGATCCAATGCGAAAATGTCAAATAATAAAAACAGACTGACAAAAATGATTTCCAGAAAACAAAATTATCGCGGTCACCCGCAGCGTGGTACAACTGGGTTTATAAACTATTTCCAAAGCATTATTTTTATCATCAGGGGTCCTGATTATTTTTGGTTCGCTCGAATGCAAATCATAAATACACGGATTAGCCTGTTTTAAGCAACATGCGAATCGCTTGTGATCGTAAGAAGAACTTGCAGTAACCTTTTTAAAGAGCGCTGCATCGCGATATTTTTATTTTATCTCAAAGAATTTGTTTAAATAACAATTCTGTAACCAACTCACTAGGAAGATTCTGGTAATAAAATGAAATGCAATTTGAACACATATGAATTATTAATTGCTTCAGAACTCATGGCAGAACCGATTAATTAAAAATCAAAGAGAGAGGCTAATATCGGAAAGTTTCCTCTTCAGGTTTCCTTTACCTGGAAATCAATTACGGGAAACATTATACATCGAATAGAACTGAAAAAGATGAAATTGAAACCAAAATCTTTCTTTCGTTTATTCGAGCGAGAATCTTTTGTCTTTTGATCAATGTTTATGAATAGTAAATTATATTTGGTTTCTCAACCAATCACCTTTCTATGAGTTCGGCTTAATTGTCAGCGGCCAGTGTGGTTGTTTCTTAACTCAGCTTTTGTCAGTTGTCCAAAATTTGCATATGAGACAGTACTTTCTGTATTCCTCAGCGCCAAATAGAAGAGTTGTACGGCCATCTGACATAGAATCAAAATTTGTTTAACAGTCGACTGTCCGCTGCTCCGGTGAACACTTTCTCCTTCAGTGATGTAGATTTTTAATACTTTCGTATTCCTGAAACTCCAACAGCACGCGGATCAACAGCTATGATCAAACTTGATCTTTCGCCTGGGTTCGGCTACCTACCTGTATTCTGGGCGCTTTTCACATCATTTACCTTCCTGCTATGTTACACTATCGCCGTCTCGCTGAATCACATCTATCCATTCGTTCCCGCCATCAGCGATACAGGTGCACGGATTCCAGAAGCAAATCTGTTCTCGGAGTTCTTCAATTTCTCCGCGCTTCTTCTGGCTGTGAGTGTGTTTGTTCGTTACCTTCAATTCCAAATGCTGACCAAGGGCTTTGAATCGTCGGATCTTCGTCTCAGCCGGTTGAACAAGTTTGGTTTGGGCTTCGGACTTGTCAGCGCGTTTGGAGGAACGATTATCGCTAATTTTCCATCGAACGAGGTGAGTCCATTTTTCGGTGTACTTAGGCACGTGAAACTAATAATTATTTTGAATTTAGGTTTAAAAATGTCTTCTACATTCATGCGACTGTGATGCGACACTTAATGTTGTGATCGTCAATAAAGTCATTCTGTATATACGGTTGAGGATTTGAAAATACTGGACGAGACCACACGGGGAAAAATATCGCTGCCCATATCTCTGTATTATTAAATTGCACGTTTTGTGCGTACTGATTAAGAAAGTACACAAGATCATGATACTTTCTACGACAGTTCTGAAATAGCAATGTCAGTAGATTCGGTGTCAAATTGTCTTAATTTATGCAGGTCAGGTTTCGTTTGTTCACCTGTCTCATTGACAAATAGCCTGCCCACTGATTCAAAATTGTGAAAAATAAAATGAGGTTTGTATCACCATTTTCTCTCGTCATCGCAGCCAGCGCGGTTTATTTACACTAAGACAACCTAGATTCATCGTTGTGTAATTTATTTTCTGTATGTTACAGAAGCGTTTTTTGGCCAATTGGGAATACTAACTCCTTTTTTCTCTTGGGAACAATTGGCTTGCGAATTGGTCTCCCAAGCAATTCACTGAAGTTCCATCTATTGATTCATTTTATCACAAATCTTAACGTTCAGATAAAAGAAGAGTAGAAACTACTTTTTCAAAAAGAATATAGCTGAA